CTCTAGATCCTTCCAGAGCTGAGATATCGAAATTCAAAATTTCGACCCGAAAAAAAAAACCACAGTGTTACCCCTTTCGTTTTTTTTCGTTTTCGGGCGAAAAATTAAGTTTCTCCAATCTTCTCAAAACTCTGGATTCTGGTAGAGGGCCACGCGACTTTGACCTGAGTGCAAAATGGAGGCTCTAGACCCTTCCAGAGCTGAAATATCGAAATTCAAAAATTTGACCCGAAAAAAAAAACGACAGTGTTACCCCTTTCGTTTTTTTCGTTTTCGGGCGAAAAATTAAGTTTCTCCAATCTTCTCAAAACTCTGGATTCTGATAGAGGGCCACGAGACTTTGACCTGAGTGCAAAAATGGATGCTCTAGACCCTTCAAGAGCTGAGATATCGAAATTCAAAATTTCGACCTGAAAAAAAAAAAACGACAGTTACCCCTTTCGTTTTTTTTCGTTTTCGGGCAAAAAAATAAGTTTCTCCAATCTTCTCAAAACTCTGGATTCTGATAGAGGGCCACAAGACTTTGACCTGAGTGCAAAAATGGAGGCTCTAGACCCTTCCAGAGCTGAGATATCGAAATTCAAAATTTTGACCCGAAAAAAAAAAAAACGACAGTGTTACCCCTTTCGTTTTTTTTCGTTTTCGGGCGAAAAATTAAGTTTCTCCAATCTTCTTAAAACTCTGGATTCTGATAGAGGGCCACAAGACTTTGACCTGAGTGCAAAAATGGAGGCTCTAGATCCTTCCAGAGCTGAGATATTGAGATCCCACGTAGCATTTATGCCATTATAAATATCTCCTTATCTCAGCTCTGGAAGGGTCTAGAGCCTCCATTTTTGCACTCAGGTATACGTCTCATGGCCCTCTATCAGAATCCAGAGCTTCAAGAAGATCAGAGAAACTCAAAATTTCGACCAAAAAAAAAAAAGACAGTGGTACCCCTTTCGTTTTTTTTTTTCAGAGCGAGAAAATAAGTTTCTCCAATCTTCTCAAAACTCTGGATTATGATAGAGGGCCACGAGACTTTGACCTGAGTGCAAAAATGGAGGCTCTAGATCCTTCAAGAGCTGAGATGTCGAAATTCAAAATTTCGACCCGAAAAAAAAAAACGACAGTGTTACCCCTTTCGTTTTTTTTCGTTTTCAGGCAAAAAAATAAGTTTCTCCAATCTTCTCAAAACTCTGGATTCTGATAGAGGGCCACAAGACTTTGACCTGAGTGCAAAAATGGAGGCTCTAGATCCTTCCAGAGCTGAGATATCGAAATTAAAAATTTCGACCCGAAAAAAAAAAACGACAGTGTTACCCCTTTCGTTTTTTTTTTCGTTTTCGGGCGAAAAATTAAGTTTCTCCAATCTTCTCAAAACTCTGGATTCTGATAGAAGGCCACAAGACTTTGACCTGAGTGCAAAAATGGAGGCTCTAGATCCTTCCAGAGCTGAAATATCGAAATTCAAAATTTCGACCCGAAAAAAAAAACGACAGTGTTACCCCTTTCGTTTTTTTCGTTTTCGGGTGAAAAATTACGTTTCTCCAATCTTTTCAAAACTCTGGATTCTGATAGAGGGCCATGAGACTTAGACCTGAGTGCAAATGGAGGCTCTAGACCCTTCCAGAGCTGAGATATTGAGATCCTACGTAGCATTTATGCCATTATAAATATCTCAATATCTCAGCTCTGGAAGGCTCTAGAGCCTCCATTTGCACTCAGGTCTAAGTCTCATGGCCCTCTATCAGAATCCAGAGTTTCAAGAAGATCAGAGGGTCAGCTCAGCTACTAAATAAAAAGATTGATTTTCTCTTGCTGCTATCGCGAATACCTCTAACATTCAAAGAAATTATAGCGCCACCTGGAGGCCTTGTTCATTGGCTGATGCTGCTGTCTGCCACTTCAGTGCCAAGATCGGAGAGCAGGAGATTGTGGCAAAAGTGCAAGACAGAGAAACTCTGAGTCCAAATGTAGGAAGGCTGTAGGAAGTGTGTATTGGCGTATAATTTTTATTGTGTGCACCATGTAATAACACTGAGGATTTTGGAAACTATCATGTATATAGAGGATCAATCTATCCACGTCTTTAGAAATGAGGCCCCTGGTATGTGCATTAATTAAGTCCATAGAATCATGTTGAGTTTAAGTATTTGTCCATGTCTGTCTACTATAGGACACTCTGCTGTTACTGTTGAAGTAGCATCACATAGGACTTCAATATACATCTACAGTCAGCGCTGTAACAACATGCATCTGAACTACTGGTTAGATGTCCAAGTGCCTGGGATGTATAGAATTACATGGGTTGCCTGAAACATTCTGAATCATCAGAGCTGCCGGAGTGAAAAGGAGAGGATATGAGGACATCTTGCTGACATGCGTACATATTTTTTACTTTAAAGGTGCCATATGTAATAATTGAGGTAAAAATATCCAAAAAATTAGCTACACGCATCAAAAGAATGAGAAGAAATAAGTGCAATGATGTCATTAAAAAACTGACAAGTTATAGTGCTGCCGAGATATAAACCTAAATTAGCATGCTAAATTACTAGCCCCGGCCCGGCAGGTGTCGTAATACCAGTTCCGGCCATGGGAGGCGGTATGCGGCCGGGCAACGTTACCACCAGCCAAACTGCAGTACACGAGTGAGTCGCGCTCGCGCCGGCTTGTGTGTGTACTTGAACCTGATGTCAGGCCACCCTTAAAAATATTCTTGTTTGCCGTAACCCGACCGACCCTGTCAATTTAGGGCCGACCCAATTTTTTTTTTTTTTTCCTTTTAGTCCGACCGACTTGCCGGTTGTAACCTGCGTTCAGACCGACCGATTTTTTTTTTTTACTCTTCAAACGACTAATTCAAAATCAATAAAATAATATTAATTATATTTTAGTTAGTATTGTAAAAGTTGCTTGTGTCTACATAGCCAACAAACGTAGGCTACGTTCTTTCTTAAATAAAAACCCGTGGCGTCATAGTCATCCGATTATGTTTACACCATTGGTTTAACGTTAAGCGTGTCACTATATGGCTTGTACGTTCGCTCGTTTCAGTGTTCCCGCTTGGTACCCGGTATTAAAAGGGCAACGGTGCTGAATATCAACCATTTCTATAATAAAAATATTAAACAATTTGTCTGTGATGCAATTTTGCTATTCGCAGTTCAGAAGAGAGAGCGATCTCTCACCCGGAGCCACAGCGCGCACAGCACGACAGCCCTGCTTAATGAGTGACAATGAGGACAAAACGTGGTTACACTTTAGATCTGGGATATTATTCTAATTGTATTTTAGATTTCCGCTTTCAAAGATTATAAAAAGAAGATATTTGAGATAAAACCATTACAGAAGCATTGTGTCTAGCGCAACTTCCTTCCCTTCACAGCGCTGCGCTGTCATTTCTTCCTAAAACCCAAACGTACCGTCAGAATCAGCATGATCGGTGATTGTTGTAAAATGCAGTCTGTAGGCTACTGTTGCTAAACTGCGGACGCGTTCAATCATTAAAAGAGCTACTAAAAGCACAAAAGTCTGCGCAAGAGAAGTTGTTCACGACGCGCGACACGCGCTCCGAAATGCACTAAAACGAGACAAGAAAAGTAGGCTATCGCCTCATTTTGGGCTTCATGTGCGCATCTAAACCATCAAATATACATAAAATATAAAATGACCTGCTCTGAGATTCATTTAAACACAGTTTATGTCTTAATTGGATGTAAATTGGGAGAAAATGATGGTGCATCAGTCATCTATTACAGTAGAGTTCTGCATTTGGTCTTAAAGGGGCAGTAGTCTAATAAACGTGACGATTGAGCCAATGCGAATCAAACAACAAAAGGCAGATAAAAATCACTCACAGCTCTTGAATGAATAACTTAAACTTTAATAAGCATTAATCTAACTATGATAAACTATGTAGTGTCATTTTACATTTGATTACTAGCTAAATTAAATTTCTTTTCAGAGAGAGCGACAGACTTGACTGAAAAGCTAATTTTAGACCTTCCTGAAATTAAAGCACTGTGTATATAGGCTAATTTGTATCTTTGTTTAATTGTATTCTTTGTTTGACCATGTGTTTGTGCTTGTTTTTGCTGATCTCATGTATATATGCATAACAAATAGATATTTTTTACATTTTGTGACATTTTGAGCCTAAAATGTAACTGGTCGTATTTTGCATAGCGGTGGATGCACAGTTTGAAGACCCAGTCAGTGACGTCACAATATGCTTTTTTTTTTTTTAAATTCACGATCACCATCTCCAAAATTGTACCTTTTTTTTTTACACTGAATCTTGGAAAAAAAAATATAGACCTACCTACCGACCCTTTTTTAAAAAAAATTGCTGTTACTGCAAACCAAAATATTTTTAAGGATGGCCTCAGTCGTGTGGAAATACAGCCCATTGCTACATTTCAGTTCAGGAAAGAGTTCAAAAAATGATTGGTTGACATTATGCATGAGGAATACATTTTGGTAAGTTGTAGCATACTGTATCTTTCAACAGTGTTCGGGTTCTTTTTCCATTAGCTAGTAGAGATGATCGGTTCACGTGCACTAGGGATCTGTGGTGTAACATGTACAAGCGCAAAAACGGTATTTATTGTTTGAATTGCATAATAAAATTGACAGAATCTGAGAGCTTAACTAACCTGCTTGCTAAGTGTTAATTGCATGTGTCTCACGGTGAATTCTTGAGAGCTGGCAGCTGCCTGACCTCACCAATTACAAGTTCCCACGGATGGACTCTTTCCATTCAGCAGAACGTCTCATCAATGAAGGAAACGCAACAACACAGAGGTAAAGTGGCATTTCTTGTTTTTTATTTGATTATGTTTTGCAGAGCCTCAAATATTAAGTGGCTTTTAACTTAGATAATTCAAATACATAAAAAGAAAGCAAGAACAGAAGAACTCTGCAAATAGATCAAGTAAAAATAAATTAAATAAGGAGGAGAGATGCTCTCTCGCTAAAGGCAATTATTGTGATTTTTATATAGTTACAATCTATTTTTTTTTTTTGGAGGGGGGGACTTAATGTGCATTTTTTGCCACAATATTTATGACATCTGATCGTTTAAAAAAAAGGAAGATAAAAAGTGAAATAAAAAAATAAAATAAATGGAGAATGTGCTCTCATATCAATACAACTCAGCAAGTCAACTGCCATGCAACACATTTTTGTCCCTGTCCGCATCACCATCTCTCCGAGCGAGCAGACATTGCGGATATCCCGGACAGCAACATAGTGTCGGCCCAGATCCGGCCCGCATCTGGCCCGTGTGGGATCCACATGTACCGGATATGAGCCGGATCTGGGCCGTTGCAGTCGGGGGAAGTATCCTTGTCAGAAACGTCCAGACTTTCTCTAAAGCATCATTCGAACCATCATCCCCTTTTTACAAAATCTTGAAAAGGCTAAAGAATAAATTTTCGAACCACTGGAAATGATGTATATGCCGTATAGGAAAATGGACAGTGAAGGATGGCTGGAATATGAAAGAGAAAGGTGAAATAAGGCTGCAGAGATCATAAACAGTCAGTCGGCACGTGACGTCACTCCCTCCACAAGGGGGAGCCAGAGGTCGAGGATCGTTTTCTAAACAGTTTTGCATATAAACAAACAATACCTTAGCTATTTCTCTAAGGCACTGATGAGAGCCGAGCTGAAATACCATTCCCTAAAAGAAAACAAAACCTCCAAGGGGCTATGCGCAAACATAAGAATAAAAAGCAACTTAAAATATAAAATGTTCCTATATAAATGATAATGTTGACAGATTGTTTGTCCTGTTAAACATTCACACCAATCTGAGCTGGTACACAAACTGCAGACCAGCGGTGCCCCGTCCCATCCTTTTCATCAGTTCACATTAACACGGTGAGGGGAAAGTGATGGAGGGGCCCGCCTCCCGCTCCCGCTTCTGTCGGGTCTGCTATTGGCTCATCTCTCGGTCACGTGACTGTGTGGGAGGGGGGGCAGGGGGGCGCACAGCACCTCCGTCAGGTCGTCCATGATGCAGGTCTCCTTGGGGTCGATCAGGTTGAATTCCCTGACGAAGACGATGAAATGTGCGTACAGTGTGTTCAAGTGTCCCTGCAGCTCCAGAGCCACGCTCTCTTTAAAGTGCGACCAGTAAATGTGCGCCAACACGTGGAACAGGAACCGGCACACCTTCTTCACCAGGGACTCGAACGAGTTCGGGAAGGGTTTGCCTGAAAGGGAAATCAGATGGTTAGCATTTGTTTTAGTTTTTTATTGATTTTATTTCATGCTTAATTGTTATTTAATCAAATTAAATATTGTTCATTAAAATGCAACATATGTAAATATTGTGCATTAAAAAATTATTTATTAACTAATTATTTATGAAAAAACATTTGTTGTTTATAATTAGTTAAGAAATTTTAAGTAAGGAAAGCATTAAACACATTATTTAAAAATATACATATTCATTTTATTGATTTAAATATCAAATCCAGCTAAGTTTCTTTTTTTTCATAATATTATTTGTAATTATTTTTGTGCCTTATAAAAGGTTTGTTTTTCCTTTAAAAACAGCTTTTCATAAACTATAAAAATGTGTTTGTAATCATTTATTGTTTGTAATTAAATCAATTGTTAGGAAATTCGGATATCTGCTAGGATTAATAAGAAATTATTCTTATTAGTTATTATCATTATTTTATTTAAAATTTTTATTCTTTATACAAGTTTATTTTAAATTATTTTACCAAAATAAATTAGTATAAATTAAATAAATATTGTTCATTCAAAATAAAAAGATTTATTCACAAATTATTCACAAATTTATTTTTTATAATTAGCTAATTAAATTAATTAGTTAGAAAATTAAAAGAAAGTAAAGCATTAAATAAATTAATAGATTAACAATTTTAAACACTATAAATTAATATATCTATATATATATATATATATATATACACTTCCTGTTATTCCTTAAAAATGTATATATTTTTTTTACTTTGAAAGCAGCTGTTTATAAATTATAAATTGGGTTTAATTCATTTACAAATGATTAATATCATTTATTGTTTGTAATTTAATCAAATGTTAGGAAGTAAGGAAACCTACTAGGATTAACAAGAAATCTAATTAAGTTATCATTGTATTATTTATAATATGTTTTATTCTGTACAAACTTTTATTTTACTTTAACAACAGCTATTTCTTTCAAAAGAAAAAATAAACAAAAACTGTATTAAAATAATCAGGTTTAAAGTCAAACGATTCGTTTAATTTATTTAATTTAGTTTGAAATTAAATCAAATGTTAGTAAGTTAGAAATTAATAAAACATTAAACATTTACATAAAATGAGATTGTTTAAATAATGTATACTATACTATACTAGGACTTTGAAAAATTGGTAACACTTTATGTTATGTGTCGTTGTTGCACTGTAGTAATAACTATAAATTATGCAGTATTACATGCAACCCTAAACCAACCCCTAACCTCTAATCCTATAGTAAATACATGTGGAAAATTATTATTACACAGTATTTAATAATAATGTTTGGTTTAAGGTGTCCATTTTACAGTGTAATTATGCGTTTAAGTTATGATTAAATAACTTAATATAATACTTTTTATAAATCATTATATTTCAAATATATATATATATAATATCCTTATAAAGGGATCTTTTTACTACGATCCTATTCTATTATACATGGCTATTTCTTGTAAGAGAAAAAGTAAATGGAGGAGAACTCCCAGATCAATTATATTGACTCAGCTCATTCTCCTCGATGAACACTAGAGGGCGCCGCTGATCTAAGGTCTTTTCCTTCAAGCATTGAAATCACAAATCGTGTAGTTCTATATGATGACTGCTAGAGGGCAGTATTTATACACACCATATTTTGTGGGAAAGATTTCTTCGTCTGTCACTAATTTCTGCACGAAAGTCATAACGAGGTCAATATACTGAGGCGCTGTGCACTTCGTCTTCTTCCCCCTCTCATCATACCAGTAGTATATTCTGTGAAAAGACGACAGACTAAGATTAAAATTCACTTCTTGTGAGTCACATTTCCAGCACATCAGGACAAAGTGAACAACAGTTAACGGTTTCAAACAACTGGAATGTGGCCGCTATCACCTTGTTTTAAGGAGGATTGCTCAGGAGGGTCAGGGGGCTGTAGACATTACAAATCTCTTGGAATGCAAACTGTCCACATAACTGACCGTACAGCATGCAGGGACCCAGTGACCTGATGCAGTCAACGCATGAGCAAACATGGACATGAGCCAAACGGATCAAACACAGATCGCTAGTTAAAAGGGATAGTTCACCCAAAAATGAAGGTTTTGTCATTAAAACTTGCACTCATGTCGTTCCAAACCCGTAAGACTTTTGTTCATCTTAGTGAACACAAACACAGCACTCGCGTCCCTTCGTAAAATGGAGGTTGAACCACTGAATTAATTTTATAAAGTCTTTACTACATTTCTGGGGGTTGAAAGTGGTAGTTGCGTAGCGGTCAATGGAGGGACAGAAATCACTCAGATTTCATTAAAAAAAAAAAAAAAGATTTTTGTCCGAAGATGAATGAAAGTCAGAGTTTGGAACAACATGAGGTTGAGTAATCCTTTTTAGTGAAATAACGGTCAATGTAAGGGTCTTTGAATGGGCACAATGGGTGCCAGGATGTTTCTCAGTGTTCCTCGATATCTACAAATGACACTGTCGAGTTACAGATTCACTTCCAAGTGGAAATGGCGGCTGTTCATTTCATTAAAATGCAAGTACTAAACCTCTACAACTTTTTTTGTTATTGTTATATTTAGTGTAAAAATGCCCACTGATAACGGACCTTTGTTTTTTTTACAAAAAGTACAAAACATTTTAGGGTGTTTCTTCAACTATGAACGTCTTGGGGGAAAAATCCATCATTTTTTGAAATGTTATAAACATTTTCACCACAGTGTTTTTTTTTTTAAAACAGTTGTTTGTTTTATAAAATTAAGTGGAGGAAAGTACATTTGAAACATTTTCGGAATAAGATTTAAAAATTATTTGTCTTTTTAAGGCTTAACCTTGAACTCCTTACAGTTCTCTTAGAAGAGGTTCTCTCGTACTGCGTAATGTCTTACACTAGGGGAAAACCTATTTTCCACGAGATATTGAAGCCAAAAATTCTCCTTAATTTTGCAGACATAGGCAAGGCGTTCTAGCGTGCCTATTAGCTGTCCTGCGGCAACCTATCGAGAGAGGCCCTTTGGTGATGCGCTTCGCGGCCACTACGTCACCCTCCTGCCGAAGCCCTATAAATATAGCTTGATGGGCTGATATAATCTGGTGTTTCATCTCTTCACGCATCACTGGATTCCGGGAGAGAAGCCGCACCGTTAAATCAGCCTTTCTGCGGGACGAGCTTTCAGCACCTGAAGTCGCTGGCCTTCATCTCGCCGCCTTCAGCTGCCGTTCCTGCTACGCTCTCCGGCGTCTAGATCCTTTTACACTCAACACAAGAGTGTGTTCGCCGTTCCGACTCACATTTTTCTCTCTAAAAGAGCTTGCGTCTTTTTAAAGATGCCATCCTCCTGTGGCTTGCGCCGAGTCCCACTCAGCGACGGGGACTGCCATGTGCGGCTGCCCTCATTGCGAGCTGTTGCCGTCCCACTCAGCGACGGGGACTGCCATGTGCGGCTTCCCTCATTGCGAGCTGTTGCCGTCCCACTCAGCGACGGGGACTGCCATGTGCAGCTTCCCTCATTGCGAGCTTTTGCCAATGGTGACTCTGAGGACTCGCCGGACATCCTTCTCCGAGACTGCACTTCCACCTGCTACAGTGCCTAAACTCAACGGGTCCCTGAGCCTTCTCTAGCATGCGAAATCTCGCCAGTTCGCCCGCCAGCTTCACTCGTGTCGCTCACCGACGGACAACGGCCGCCGTCGATGACGACGAGCCAGCTGTATGTGCGGAGGAGGCCAGCTGCTCTTTACAGGCGTGGGACAGTGAGGATTGGGCGAGGATGTGGACCACCCTCCCCTGCCCGTGAATCGTCAAGGAAGAGGGCCAGCATCGAGCTCGTCATCCGGCGAGCCTCGGCCTCGAGGTGGAGGCGCCCGCGTAGCCTGCGCGCAACTGACTGGATGGGTGCTTCCTTCAAAGGGACCGCGCCCCACCACTTTCAAAGTTTATGTGGCGGCCATAGCAGCGTTTACAAAACCAGCCAGTCACTGGGAAAAAATGATCTGGTCATCCGCTTCCTTGAAGGAGCTGAATCCTCCCAGACCCCCCTCAGTCCCCATGTGGAACCTTTCCATGTTTTCGGAAGCCATGAAAGGCGCCACATTTGAGCCAATCCATTTGTCGGACATGAAACACCTGTCGTTCAAGACAGTGTTTCTTATGGCTCATAGAGGTGTGAAACGTATAGGGGATTTTCAAGCACTTTCAGTGAGCACAACGTGCTTGGAATTTGGGCCAAATAACTCGAGAGTCATACATATGTGCCTAAATCCCTCAACACACCGTACAGGGCCCAGGGTATTCTCCGATTATAATGAGGAAAAGGACGCGAACTTCCTTTGCCCAGTCAGGGCATTAAGAGCTTATGTGTTTTGTTTGTCCGTTTTCAGACAGACTAAGCAGCTCTTCGTTTCATTCAGTGGACGTGCTAAAGAAGTAGCCACATCGAAACAGAGCCCATCCAGATGGATAGTTGACGCTATAGCGCTGGCAAACACGTCAAAGGGCCTGAAGTTCCCTTTCGGTGTTAGAGCGCACTCCACAAGAGACATGGCCTCGTCGTGGGCTTGGTCTAGCGGGATTACTTTACAGGATATCTGTATGGCAGCAGGCTGGGCCTCCCCATCTACATTTATGAGGTTTTATAACCTCGAGGTTCCCCCCTTACAGGCTAAACTACTGTCGGTATAGAATCAAGTATTGTCTGCCCCATGCTTCGGCTCACAATACTACATTCGCTTGAGCACCACTCGCTGACCGATAAAGTTTTGCCATGGGCAATGCAAGACCCATACCGTTACACGGTTCAGGCCGAATGTTTTCACCCTGACTGTGTGGAGCCCTGTGAAAGTGATTAGCTCCCTTAGGATCCTAACTTATTGGGAATGACGCTTCTAGCCTCTCTGTGAGTCCCTGGTGATTGTGCACTATATGAGCCCCGAGCACCTGCCCTTGGGACTTTGGTGTTGGATCCCTGCACGCAAGGCGTTTTACACTGTGTTCCCCTAGCGTAAGACATTAAAGGTTCACCCAAAAATGAAAATTAAGTCAATAATTACTCACCCCCATGCTGTACCAACCCCGTAAGACCTTCGTTCATCTTCGGAACACAAATAAAGATATTTTTGATTGAATCTGAGAGCTGGATCAGTCCTACATATACTGCCTAAGGGACTGGCTCTTGACGGCCCATAAAGTCATTAAAGAAAAGGTTTAAATATTCCATGTGTCTACAGCGGCTCAATTATAAGTTTATCAAGCGACGAGACTACTTTTTGTGCGAAAAAAACATACATAACGACTTTATTCCACTATTCCATTACTTCCTTATGGGCGCATGCGCGAGAACTGAGACGAGGACGTTCTCATTCGTCTACTTCTTGTTACCGGCTGCTCCGCTTAGGAGTTTTACCGCCCCCTACCGTATATATATATATATATATATAACACAATTGAAATGCACTTTCTGTAAAGCTGCTTTGAAACAATATGTATTGTGAAAAGCGCTATACAAATATACAATTTGAATTGAACTGAACCGTTCAGATTATCATAGTAAAATCATTTTTATGAAGATGTTTCATGGTTTAAGATTGAATGTCTGGGACAACAAGACATCTATGCATGACATTTGAAAAAAATAATAATAATACATGTAGTATATATATATATATATACATGTAGTATATATATATATATATATATATATATATATATATATATATATATAAGAAAAATCAAGGTAAATATGACTAAAACTGAGAATATGTTTATTGGCCGTCATTTCCGAACGGCTCATATTTCACATGAACGTAAAAATAACTGGATAAAATTAATTTAATAATGTGTAATTTGTGTATATTTAATGCTAACTCTAAAACTAATATTAACATGCTAACATAGCATGATATTTTAGAGGAAAAGGGGGGAAATTTCATTCCCATCACAGTCATTTCCACCACGGTGTTCATTGTGGTGGTAAAGACAGGTTGTGGTGGAAATGATATTGTTCGTGCTAAACAGCAAATTATTTTGGGCTATAATACTAAAACGTTAATGTAAAAAAAAAAAGCATACAATTAATCAAGTTAAGGTAGTAAGAAATATTTTATTATTTATTATTGCTACAATATTGTTGGTAAATAAGAGAACTTGGGTGTTTTCTTGGGCTATCAGATAAAAACGCCAATATATATATATATATATATTATTCAATACAAATCATCGCACCCAACTTAAGGGAAGGTTTCTAGACAGATTGAGAAACCAACTGATACTAAAAAACTGTTTGTAGATATGTTTTTATTTTCTGAAACTGTCTAGCTCAAAGAGTACCATAGTTGAAGAATCACCCATATATAAAATAATAATAAATAAACCCCTGTGTCCATGAATGAATAAACACCCAATATTCATATTAATAAAATACCTCAGTATAGCCACATAACTCTGCTCTAAATCACCAAAAAACTGCAAAGTTAAACATCAAGTCTATTGTCCATCATTTTCAACCTTTTCCTCAGAGTCTTTTCACCAGGGATTGATTTATCAATTGTAAAGCCGGCAGTGGCTGAAAAGGCTTGTGTTTTGAACGCACCCCTCCTCGCCCTGTGCGGTATGCCTGGGGTGAGTGCGCAATTGTTAGTGTTCTGTGTGTTTGGTAATTCTTGTCCATGAATAGTCAAACATGTGGTTCTGCGGGTCAGTGTGTAAATGAGGAGTTTAGCGACTCACACCCAGCACTCGCTCCAGCCAAACAGGGCAAACGAGTTGAGCAAAGATCTTAAAATTCAAACATGGTTACTTGTGGGACTGTGCACAGTCTCTGTTCCAGTGATTCTGCAATTTCTGCATTTTTTGAATGCTTCATTTCTTCAACGATTTCAACCTGCTTTATGCTTTTTTACAATTGTAACTTTCTTTAGTGTGTAATGCTGCTGGTCGAGCATGAAAAAGATCTGCAAAGTTACACAGTCTCTCCAGCAGGAGTTCTTCTCCATATCAGTGTCACAGTTTTGGTCTCCTTGAAAACCTTTATCAACCTTCAAATGGATTTTGGTATAATGTATGAGGGTGGATTATTGATATTGTGTGTTGTGTGTTTCCACTTATTCTGAGAAAACGCTCAAAAAGTCATTTAACTGTCTGAAGAAATACTCAATTACTGTGCATTTGACATTTCTCACTATCTGGCAGAGATATACTTCTCTGAAGCATCTCATTTCCATTACAATCGAGCTTAAACTATTTTATAGAAATGCAGTTGTTCTCTAAAATGCACAGTTAGGGACAAAAAGTGTTACAGTAACATTACAAATTCTTAAAATAAACACAAATTAATGTAAATATCATTATAGGATAATAATTGTTGTTATATATATATATATATATATATATATATATATATATATATATATATATATATATATACAGTATATATATATATATACATATATATATATAAAATACTATAATACAGTATATGTATTAGTAATATATATAATATAATATATATATATATATATATAATATAATATAATATAATATATATATATATATATATATATATTAGTAACAACAACAATAATATTTTTATTAATATATAATATATAAATATTATTATTTGTTGTTATTTAAGTTATAAGAATACATACTGTTCTCTGTATTTTCTGAATTGTCTGGATACTTGTTATATAGTATAGACAAGTTGTTAAAAGTCTAGGTAAGGAGAAAGCGCAAAATTCATTCTGGGAAATTGAAATTAAAAAAAAAACACTTTACTCTGAGAAAGTAATACTTACTTTTTACTCATTTTTAAGAGTTGGTCAAGAAACTAAAGCTGTAAGGTAAATGTTGTCCCAAGTAATTCTTTAACTGATCTTTTGAAACACCCATTCAGCCTGTGAGAACATTTAACTAAAGGCTTTTAAGGTCATTTAATTGGTTCCGCCTCGAACAAACTTACAAAACGTCTAATTCTGAGAATGGTTCCCTTGTATTCTCGTCTAGTTCAAAACACATCTGAAAGCCAAACAAGCACTGGCTTCAGTAAAATGTGTGTCAGCTTTCATTCCAATTCACCCGAATCAGACCTACAAACCCAGATTCTTACAAAGCCAGTGTGCTGATCCAGGATCTGGCTTTCAAAAGGAAAAAAATTGTGAATATGAGAAATATCTGATCCAGCAGCAGTTCTCAAAAAAAAAAAAGGTTTCCAATTCTCGCCCCAGGACACGTCTAGAGGAAGAAAGAGAGATGAAAGAGAGAAAGAGCGATGAGAATGAAAGGACTTACGTGTTACAGGCCGTCATGGCTGGACATGTGTCCCCTGTGCAGAACTCGGAGATTGTGCTATACTGCAGATTTATGAGATTAAAGAAGGTTGTTGCTGCAAAGGACAAAAGGAAAGACATTCAGAGAAGTTGTGACAAGACATTCACTGATATTTCACAATCAATAAAGCTGAAATAGCATCGCAGTCATAGCATGACGTCAGTTCAGAAACGTAGCAAATGAATCATGGTGCCACATAAGATGCCTCTTTTTAGCAGCAAATCCCAAAATGCATTGTGATAAGCTTAGGTGGATGACGCAAGAGAAATGTTTGTTTTATCCAATACTCTAAATGAACAATAAATAAAGTTGTGTAATTCAAAAATGTATTATTTTAACATCATTTGTGTTTAGTTTTATTTGACTATCCTGTCATTAGCTTAGCAAAATGTTAAGATGAAACGTGAACGTTGTATCGTTCGCCAAGTGAAAATAATCCAATCATTTACGTTTTAGTTGACATGTAAACAGTATTTTGTAACACTTAAAAACAAACAAACAAACAAAGAAAAACAGGAAATTTGGTTCATAATGAAATTTGTACTGTTTTTTATTATCTATCCTGTTCTTAGCTTAGCAAAATGCTAACAGCAAACATGAACGTTTTATCATTTGCCAGGTGAAAATAATAAGTCCAATCACTTGGAAGTCATTTTCGTTAGGGGTTTATACTTAAGTTTGTTCAAATCACCAACGCTAAGGACCAGAATTCGGGTACCTTTACACAACAATGATATGCTTAAAACGGAGACGTTTTTCCTTTAAATTTCAGCGTACAAACAACACCATTGTCAAAACGATTCATTCAAATGGATCCGCGAAAACAACTAAAAATGCTGCATTCTGCTGCCAGGCCAATAGATGGCGATGAAACACTATAGACTGAACACATAACAACCAAGTGCATGACGTCATCATCTTCAGAGATTTGCGTTTTGTTGTTTACACGAAGACTGTTTTCAAAAACTTGCACTTTGAAACACTTTTTTAAACGTTTCCAGGCACCCAAAACGCCCTTGTTGTGTAAACAAACGGCCAAAATGCATCAAGTTTTACGTTTTTAATTGACATGTAAACAGTATTTTGTAACACTTGAAAAACAAAACAAACAAAAAAAAAACAGGAAATTTGGTTCATAATGAAATTTGTACTGTTTTTATTATTAAACTATCCTGTTGTTAGCTTAGCAAAATGCTAACAGCGAACGTGAACGTTTTATTGTTAACCAGGTGAAAATAATAAGTCAAATCACTTAGAAGTCATTTCAGAAGGGTTTGTTCAAATCACCAACGCTAAGGACCAGAACTAAGGTATGTTTACACGACAACGATATGCTTAAAACGGAGACATTTTTCCTTTGAGTTTTTACGCGTACAGACAACACCATTGACACCATTCATGCGGATCCGCGAAAACAACTAAAAATGCTGCTTTCTGCTGTCAGGCCATTAGATGGCGATGAAACACTATAGACGGAACACGTAATAAGCAAGTGCATGATGTCATCATCTTCAGAGATTTGCGTTTTGTTGTTTACACAAAGACCATTTTTCAGGCACCCAAAACGCCGTTGTCGCGTAAACAAACGGCCAGAAAGCATAAAGTTTTAAGTTTTTAGTTGACATGTAAACAGTATTTTGTATCACTTAAAAAAACAACAACAGGAAATTTGGTTCATAAAGAAATTTGTACTGTTTATCATTAAACTATCCTGTTGTTAGCTTAGCAAAATGCTAACAGCAAACGTTTTATTGCCTGGTGAAAAACATAAGACCAATTACTTTTAAGTTCGACCTTTTTTTATGCATACACGTACAAACACGTAGCAGACACTTGATAGAGTGCGCAAACACAGGCAGTTGACACATGCGCTCTAGAAATGTTCATCTTTCTCCAGTGTCTGCAGTATTTTTCTCCAGACGTTATGAACGATGAAAATGTCTGTATTCTTTTAGTAAAGTTGCGGCTCTCATAAACCCCTCACAAAAGCGCTTGTCAATGTGGGCGTCTGTTGTTGTTGTTGTTGCAGTCTCCGGTATTTTGTTGTTGTTTCATCTCATTAATTCCACCAAAAAAATTGGTTCATAATTAAAGCAACAGTTCAATTAAAAATGAAAATTCTTCATCCTTTTGAGTTGTTTCAAACCTGTATGAGTTTCTTTCTGCTGCTGAACACAAAAGACGTTATTTTGAAGAATGTCATTAACAAAACAGTCGATGGACCGCATTGACCTCCATAGTAGGACTACATCAATTGTCTGCTAAATGATGACAGAATTTTCATTTTGAAGTGAACTATTCCTTAAAATTCATTCTTTTCACAGCAATAACAATTTAAGAAGGTAGTGCTCTGAAATTGCTTTGTGTAGTTTGGACACACACTAAAATGCGACTGATTTACAAACTCCTGACCGACGGAAGGCTATTTTTAAAGACGGACAAAGACTCTCAGCCTCAAAATACAGGGCAAACACTCGTAACAACTATAATGTTCGGTTAGGAACTCACTGTTGCTGGCGAGCCATTCGTTGAGGTCTATCTCTCTGGCGGGAAGCGCCACCAAATCTTTCAGGTCGAAGTCCATGACCCGTACTTTTGTGTACTCTGGCTCCAAGTAGTGCTTCTTCTCTTCAGCGGGTGCTTTCTTTCCATTGGGCTTCGTTTTGGATTTCCTGCAAGACGGGAGAAAAGAGACACGTTAAGATGAGACAGAGTGGAACAAAGGTGAAGTGTGTTTTTCTCGTTGTCGGTACCAAACGCACAAGCGGTTTTCAAACATTTAAAAATGGCATATGGCGTAACTACTAAAAATGTTCGTTATTTATTATATTTTAAAATGCATTATTTAACGTAAAAACTACTTTTTTAAAACATTATGCAATTCTTATTCATAAATATGAGGTTTTGGGGATTCACACATGACATTTTGAACTGAACAAAAGATAGCACTGTCATTAAACAGTAAAATTATCTGATATTTTAAAACTTTTTGACTTTGACACACAGTCATGAGTGTCTGAAGAGATCTATGAAGTCATTTCCTTAATTTTTTTGTAATTGTTGCATGTTGGTTGCACCACATGACTTGGTAGAAAAAAGATTTATTTATAAATATTAATAAGTAGTGAAATGGAAAAAAAAAGTTTAAGAACTTCTTTTAGGTTTACTTTTTTCCTTTTTTCTCTCCTTATGTTTTCAGAACTTTAGCCCCACTTAAACATTTAGAAATGAAAAACATGCTCAACATACACACACACACACACACAAAAAAAGACTTTTTAAAATTCTTCATATTATGAATTAAAACATTTAAATTGAGTAAAAAAAATAGATTTTATAGTTTGTGATTCGTTTTCCCAAATTTAAACATTTTCATTTAATTTTTTTTTAATTTATGAATTTATTTTTTCCTTTTTTTGTAGTTGTTGACTGTTGGCTGCACCATATGACTTGGTAGACAAAGATTCATTTATGACATTTGACAAAGACATTTAGAAATAAAAAAAACATGATCAACATACACAAAAAAAATGCCTTTTTTAAATTTTTCATATTATGAATTAAAACATTTAAATTGCGTAAAAAAAATAGAGCTTAAAAAAACATTTTCTATAAATCTTACCATTGAGTTTTTTTACTTTAGTACCATTTACTTTAAAATTTACAAAAAAATGTTTTAGTTTCTTTTTACTCATTTAATAATACGTAAGGATTATTCAATTCAATTTGATTTTAACTGTACAATTTCAAATCATAAATCATAAAAAAAGGCTTAAAATCTTTTTTGTTTTTAGTTCAGTTTAGTTTAAAAGAGGCAATTCAAGTCATTGGATATGTAAACCGCATAGATACAATAAATCTACCCTGACAAGAAAGTGTAAGAACTTCCAAGGATTTTGAAAAAACTTCCCAAAGTGATCCAACATCTCCGCTTCTTTGCAGTACACCGCATTTCTTGTCTGTTTCAAACCCCTGTGTCAAAACAGACTTCCAGTGCTAGTTTTAACATGTAAATGCCAGAATCGCATTGCTGTGGCAGATCCCGCAGCTGGTTGGGACAAAGGTTATAGGGGTCATTAAACAGCTAATAACAAGAGTACAGGCACGGACGGGTTACAAAGAATTTACATCCTTTCCTTGCGCTCGCTTCGACCCCTATTTGGTTTATTATGTTTATGTGAACAAATTAGGCAGAGTTTCTCTTTACCGCTCGCTCATTTTAACTCCTTTCTTCCTTGCAAGCCTTAAATCAGCGTTTCGCTTCGGACAAAGGAGTCAAATTTATTGCTCACCCACCAACTTGATATCCTGTTCAGGTCTCTCAGCACTGTAAACATTCCCTCATTCCCAACCCCAAGTTTCTGACCACCTTCACCATTTCCTCTTTTCCACCACACACAGCACTCCATCATCGGAGCAGGAAGAGACCAAAGTCCATAAACAGTGTTTTTAAACTGAAGACAAAGACAAAGGGAATGGTCTGTGAGATCAGCGGGATTCTGGATTACTTCCGAGCGGGAAAGATCATCCATATCAAGGTCTTGAATTGACTCGTGGCAAAGGTCTAAAAGGGTTAATCGTCTGATCAAACATCATTGGAGCGTGGGAAGTCTGGGAAACGTCAACTTTAGTTGCATGTCATTCCATTTAACTACACATGATTAATTGTTCTGGGTGAAACAGGAAATACAATGAAGATACTTCACCAAGGGAATTCACACTATGAGCTACTTTACAACTTGTGGTCAAAGATACTGAAAAATGAAGGAAACATAGACAGAACAAAAAAAGAGGATATTTCTAGTTCCTCTTTCATCAGACGGACTGACCTCATACCAGCAAGCCGCCTCATTAATACATGTTTCTGTGTAATCCACATCATAAGAATAAATACGAAATTGACACATAGTAAAATAGTTGTGTTCTCTTTATGAAATTATTCTAAACGAGGATGAGCTTCGCTTTCCATATTTCAGATAAAATTGCTAACACTTTATTTTGACGGTCACCTTTAGACATTCTGTGTTGACTATAAGTAACGTTGCACCTGTCAGCTAACTCTCATTAAAATATTAATAGATAGCTTAATTTTGATCTTTGTTCTGATCCTGCCCAACTCACATTCTACTGACAATAAGTAACTTTGCAAGTTAACTTATTCTACGAACCCTTACCCTACAAGTCTACTAATACTCTACTACACTCCATCTAAAGAGAATTAGTTGACATGAAGGTGCATCGTTCCCTCTAGTCAACAGAATATTTAAACCATCAAAATAATTGCTCACAAAAAGATTCTCTCGCACTGAAAATATAATTTTTTATATTTTTTTGTATTTTTTGCGGCATATTTGTACACTGTAAAAAAATATTGTTGGTTTAACTTAAAAAAGTAAGTAACCTGGGTTGCCTTAAAATTTTAAGTTGATTGAACTGGAAAAAGTGAGTTAATACAATGAAGGAGATTAATTTAACCATCAGAAACTCAAAATAATAAGTTATCTCAACTAAATAAATTATTATAAAGTTGATTTGACAAAAGAAAATATGTTGTGATAACAAATCTTGAAAATATTTTTTACAGTGTAGAAATTATCCTATTTTCTAAATTTGCTGTAAATATGTCCTGTAAATAAACAGACGCGACTGAATAAGTAATTGTGTCTTCTTTCTTTTGTGAAATAATGCCAAACCACTTTGTTTCTGTGTGACTAATGTGCCATTTTGACACAAATTAATTCATTATAATCAATGTATGACTTTTTATTGTAAACCTGTGGTAAAACATTGATGCTTGGGTTTTGAATATTCAAGAAAACGACAAAAATGCAAGCAAACAGTCACTTTCATCATGTTCGTTTTGCGATCTCGCTGTTTCCAGTGATTTCTTTCTGATTGGTTTTCTGATCAAACGTCCATCTGTTGGGGAAATGATGGGTTAGTGTGATGTTGGTTCCATATTGCCAAAGAGCCACTTTTAAATTTCGTTTTGAAGCCAAAACTCGCCACTCTAGTGATAAACGAAATTGGACTCCTGCTGCTGATCTGTGCGGCGACTCTTGTTCGACTCGCGTTGCATTGAACAGACGCATTAAAGTAGTAATTCACTTTTGAAAAACCTTTTGCTGATAATTTACTCACCCCCATGTCATCCAAGATGTCCATGTCTTTCTTTCTTCAGTCGAAAAGAAATTGAGGTTTTTGATGAAAACATTATAGGATTTTTCTCCATATAATGGACTTCAATGGGGACCAAACGGATCAAGGTCCAAAAGACAGTTTCAGTGCAAACTGCAAACTGTTCAAATGGCTTTAAACGATTCGAGACGATGAATAACGGTCTTATCAAGCGAAACGATCGCTCATTTAAAAAAAAAATAACAAAGTTTAAGTTTTATAAGCTCAAATGTTAGCCTTGCTCGTTCGTGACTCTCCCGTTCAAACTCGTTCATCAAAATGAATGAATCTTTTTCCGAGTCATTTGGTTCATTCAACAAACGAAACGAATTGATTCGGAAAAAGATTCGTTCAGTTCCAGTGAGAGTCATGAACGCGCATCACAGAACAGAGCAAGGCGAGCTTTTGAGCTTATAAAACTTAAACGTTGTTATTTATTTTTTAATGAGCGATCGTTTCACTTGAAAAGACCCTTATTCATCGTCTGGAATCATTTAAAGCACTTTGAACAGTTCGCAGTTTGTACTGAAACTGTCTTTTGGACCTTGAACCGTTTGGTTCCCTTTGAAGCCCAGAGAAAAATCGTGGAATGTTTTCATCAAAAACCTTAATTTCGTTTCGACTGAAAAAAGAATGACATGGACATCAAAAGTTTTTTGAAAAGTGAACAACACCTTTAAGTTTTCAATTATTGTGTCTGTTTTCTAACTAAGCAAAATTATTTTTATTCCTATGCAAAATCAAAATGGCGGTGCTGTGGTGGGCAAGTGATGTAACCGGCTGAACACTGACTAGCAGCAAGCCTAATCTAGACTAAAAACACATCTCTTTAGCCAAGAATTCACATAATACATCTCATAAACTTGTGCTCCAATTATATTAGGCAAAGGCACATGACTATATTGCGTGACATGTTATGAACAGCAGCTGCACTAACTATTCTTCATTTGCTTTTCTGTTTCTAGAGATTACGTCAGCTCCAGTTCGGATCCAGCCTTTTTGGGAGTGACAACATATGTAAATGTTGGATTAACTTCCCAAAAATGCATTCAGTCAGTCCTGAACACACAACATTGGCACAGTAAACAATAGCCATGGGGTAGACTACATTTAATAAAACTTAAATTTGTTCCCCATATACCTTTTTTGGGCAAATGTGTTCACATTGAGGTTCCCATGAATGTGAATAGATTTAAATTCAAAGAGACTAAATAATCTAAGCCTGAATGATTTATTCTTAGCTAAAATGAAGATATGTGAACATTATGGGTCACAAAAAACTCATGTATGTTTCAATAATACTCCAAAAACTAATTCGTCTCAATCATCTCCCTAGTTCAGTAGTCAGGGCACTGATCAGGCAGTCTGCAATTTTAAGGGTTGTCAATTGCAAAGCCCTTCCAGTGCACTAAAATGTTCGCTCGCTATAGTCCCACAATGCACAGTCAAAAACCATAGAGCATCGATGCTCACTATGTTCCCAAGCAATTGCCAA